TCAGCAAAACAACAACAAAGCAATAACAACGATAACAACAGCAACAAGTCCATAAAACAAATATTGACCAACACTCGACATTATAAAATTTCAATTAATTATGAACAGCTTAAAAGTTGAGCTAAATTAATTTGATTTTTCACTTTTACTCAACCTCCTTTGTTTTATGGTTTTCATTTTCATTTTTGTTTTTTTATTTTTTATGATTCAGCTTCAATAACAATTTGCGCGCAATTTCGCCGAGTCATGAGAATTTATGAACAGCGTGTGACAAACCATAATTGAAAATGTGTTTATAAATCCCAATATATAGATATAAATATAGAATGCGAGACTCTAAGCCCAACGCTTGGCGTGGCAAATTAGGCTGGAATTTATGAAAAGCAAAAAAATAAATAAAAAGCTAAAAAAAAAAAAATAAATTTAAAAAACATGGCAAACGCATCAAGTGAGAGTAGCAAGAGTAATGGCTTTTCTGTGTGCTAGGCGCGCATTTTTTAAATGCATTAAAAAAGTGTTACACTCGAGTGCCGCACATTTATCACACACCCATACACACACGCACACCCGCACAGACTTACATAATGGAAAAATTGCATTTAAATTGTTTGGCGTACAATAAATTGTTATAATTCATCAGGCGAATCTCTGGCCTAGCGACGCGAGCTAGCTGACTGTACTTGATAAATTGATTGACTTCAATTCAATTCAATTGAATGGCGGACCTAACAAATTTATGATATACAGCAAAGGAAAATGCAAAGGAAAAGAAGAAAAAAAGATAAGAAAAGAAATAAGTCTCAAAAAAATATGTGCGACAACGCGACGTATGAGTAATATTGTCCGGAGTCGACAACGAGTCGTATGAGTGATATCGCATTGCATGACAGGCACTTTATTAGCTGGCGCTATTAATTTGCATGCGAGACGCATCAACAACAACGCCCTCCAAGCCCCACCCACAGCCTAAAGAAATTTGTAATAAAATTGCTAGCTCCGCCCTCCCAAAAAAAAAAAAAAGCAAAAAGCACAAATAAGAAGAAAAAGAAAAAAACGGAAAAAAAAATTGACAGCAAAATCAGAAAATTCCATTAATTTTAAGCAGTCAATCAAAATTGCCAACTTGAAGTCGATTATATTATGCTAATGAAAAATCGTAGAGCAGACAGTAAAGGAGGCGGGGCAGCCCCACTCCCCAACTCTGCTCTCTCTCTCTCACACACACTATCTCTCTCACTCTCTAGCTGACCCAGACACAGCAGGTGGCAGCTGTCCAGACAAAAGTCATCAACTATCAACATCATTCATTATTATTTATTATCGATGAGGCATACGAGACGCACACTTAATATTGACTTACACACATACATACATACATCAAGATGTACATACATATATACATGCTTCCACAATCATTTCTCATAAACAAGCTGACAAACTGACTGCAGCTGCTAACACGTGTTTGCCATTTGACATTTGCCCCGGGCTCTGAACTCTTTGAGGCCAAAAAGCGTTTGGGAATAGCTCAAGAAAATCTGTTTATAAATGGATAAAAAAGAAAATATATATATAAATAATAATGAAAGGGTTTTTTTCGTAGAGCAAAGTTTATGGAAATCGTGGGCTTTGCGAAAAGTGGAGTAACTTCATTTAAATTCCTTCTCAGAAAGTTTTTGGTTGTCCGCCTCTGCCTTGCTGATTTGCCTTTCATGCTTCTGCTCTATGTTCGCTTCCTTCTACTGCCATTTATCAGGAAATGTTTATCTAGTTAACTGCTTTTAATCACAGAAACATCTAATCCAAATATTTATCAAAGTCAACATGATTTCCGCTAATTACAAATTATTTATATTTTATTAAAAAATTTATTTTTATGTAAGCACACTTGATTATTANTATTTTTTTTTTTAATATTAAATTTGTACTTTAAGAAATAATAAATAAATAAATGGTTAAATTATTCCCTAGCTGAAACTCCAGCAATAATAAAATTTTACAAAATTATAAATGAATTTTTTTTTTTTTTAATATTAAATTTGTACTTTAAGAAATAATAAATAAATAAATGGTTAAATTATTCCCTAGCTGAAACTCCAGCAATAATAAAATTTTACAAAATTATAAATGAATTTTTTTAGTTTATATTTTTTCATTTGGGGTATTCCCTAGCTGCAACTTAATGTTAATAGCTGTAATTACTTGTATATGTTTATATCTTTCACATTAAAAGTATTCCCTAGATTTGTCTACATATATTAAGTTTAAGGAATACCCTTAATTCGATTTTAATAAGAATTTTGGTGTTTACTACGGGGTGTTTAATAGTCTGTAGTAGTTTAACTAATAAATTGCTTGTTTATACATTAGATACTATCAATACATATAAACAATTCTTTCATTATTTTTGTGTGCGCTGCAGAGTATCAGTTAGTCGATCAGTTAGCACTTTACTGAGAGCTAAAGACCCATATGCATGGTTAGCTTTTAATTGAGTGCCTTTTAATTGAGTTTTGAGCAAATGTACAGCATATCGATAATTGTATTTATATTTATGCAGCTGTCATTAGCGTGTAAGTGGGCGCAAATTAAATGATGCTCCACACATGCAAATGCACAAATACACACACACACACACACATGTTTATGTATATGCTGCCCAGAGGCACTTAGCAAAGTTTGCAGAACATTTAAAGCAGATGTATATATGTATATATAGAACAGCCAGATATATGTATATCTATATATATACATATATATAGAGTAGCTATCAGCTGCTCGTCTCGAGTGCTTTGTCAACTTAATTAATTGTTGATTTAAACTTGCAAACACATTTGTTTGGCCTCCGCGCTGGCATTGCCTGGCATAATATTTGTTTATGCAAATTGTGTTTAATTAATACATAAACAGATTGCTGTTGCCACTTTAAGCGCTGCGGTCAGCATTGTAGCTAAAGAAATTGTACAATGTTTCGCTGTCAAATTTTGAAATGTGCGGTTTGCCGGCATTAATTTTACATTCATTCGGATACACACACACACACACACACACAGACACACGCATAGCCGGTGGTTTGCTGTGGTTAACAACCTTTTGAACACTGACAAAACTTCAAAACTGAAAAAGCCGCTTAATGGCTGCCACCTCAACAACAACAACAACAAGAAACAGTTGCTGCTGCTACTACTACTCCTGCTCCTGCTTCTCCTGCTGCCTGCCTGCCTGCCTGCCTTGGGACGTGATTATCTATGCCACACAGTTGAATAGTTGGCATTCTTAAAGCCTTTGGCCCTAAGCAACAAGCAACGTTGAAGTACCAATACGTTTAAAGCCGGCTTCATAACACACAGTATATGTATGTGTGTGTCAATCTGTGTGTCAATGTGTGTGCGTGTATGTGCCAGTTACCATACACGTAGCATTTAAAAACTCGTTTAGGCATGTTGCTCTACTCACAGACTGAACAAGTGGGTAACTAAAAAAAAAGTTAGTTTGGCTTCGGGTATAGAAAACTTTGCTAATACTCTAGACCGAACTTCAAGCTTAGTTTTAACAGTAAACTTTAAGCTTTAATTAGAATATGTAAATGGAATATCAGAGCTATCAGAGCTATAACTATTCTACTCAGTATCTCCTCCAAAAGGAATCTTGCCATTATTTCATTGATACGAAAGTCTATTGGTATATATTGTATTTATGTATGGATCTTTAAGTTAACCCTTGATTTTGGGATTATAATCATATAAACTATGTACTAAGTAAATTTGAGAGAATAAAAATTAATTTTATTTTCTTTTATTGGATATTGCAATGGCTTATCGATTTTGCTCTTAATTTGCCATTATTTCATTGATAGGAAAGTCTATTTAAATATTTTTATATATGTATATTTAAATTATCCCTTTTATTTTAAGAAATTAATTGTTAAGTCTTTTACAATTTTTTAGATATATTTTACAATATTTGTTGCTAATTTTTCCATTATTAAGAACAAGAAAATTCGAGAGAAGAAAATAATTGTCTTTTCTTTTATTGGATACAGTAAAGGATAATGGACTTTCCCCTTAATTGCCCACTATTCCAGGCAATTCATTTCTGTTCTAGCACTCGACCAAAGAACAAAAATATAAATATAACAATTAATTTCTTATCTAGAATTCCCATTGATTACATCTAAAGTTCAAATCGAAAAAGCATTTGCGGCAATTTCAATAGAAGTAAAAATTTACTTGTAATCCAATTAGGATAAATTTCTATGCTCCATTGAAAACATTCAATTGGAAATGCCTAGTACGGAAATACGTTCACTTCAATCCAATTATAATTAAGTTAATTCTTTTCGAAAACTCAAACGAATCGAGCTCAAGAGAGAATGCAAAATTTCGGCTGGCAAACCACATTACAAAGTTATGTGGACTGACTTGGGCTGCTCAAGCTTTAGAAATGGAAATTTCAAAAATGCCTCGCTTGGCACACACACAAACGCTCACACACACACACACACACACACCGGTTTGCATACATACATAAAACATGTTTTTGGCACACAAAACCCCAGAAAAAAACCTGAGAGAGGCAAAACAAATACAAACAGCAGAGCAAAGCAACAAAAAAAAAATGGTAACAAAATGTTCTAAATAAAAAATAAAAAAATAAAAATAGAAAAAAACTGTTGAACGGAATTCGAATATCGAACACGTTTCTTTACTTTGACGCTGCGCCATATGTGTGTGTGTGAGTGTGTATGTTTGACTGTGTTGGAGTGTGTGTGCCTGCCTAGATTTATGCAGCATTTCATTTGCATTTTGTGCGCGTTTCGGAGAAGGTAAATACAAAAAAAAAAAAAAAAAAAAAAAAAAAAAACACCGTCGCGTCTCAAGTGTGGCAGCAATTGTTAATAAAAATAAAAAGTTGTTTGTTATTGTTGTTGCTCTATTTTCGCTATACCATTTGCTATTTTCTATTTTCTATTTGTTTGCCTCTTCATCTGCTTCTTCTTCTAGCTATTGGGCTGTGACCAACATTGATTACATCCATTCACGCACCAGCAACCGCGTCTTCATGATGATCTTCTGCGTCTGGTCCGCATCTGTGATTGTTTCGCTGGCGCCACAATTTGGCTGGAAGGACCCGGATTATCTGCAGCGCATCGAGCAGCAAAAGTGCATGGTCTCACAGGATGTGGCCTATCAGGTAATATAGCTGATATATCTATTGACTATGTGGATGAGTTTCAAAGAGAATTTTCCCTCATTTAGGTATTTGCCACCTGTTGCACTTTCTATGTGCCACTGCTGGTTATTTTGGCTCTGTACTGGAAAATCTATCAGACGGCCAGAAAACGCATTCATCGTCGACGACCGCGTCCCGCTGACGTGACAGCCAACAATAATCAGGTGAGTACCAATACCTAACATAAGAGGGATTAAAGTGTAGAGAGAGGAACTGATTACAGGAGAGCTAAAGCGAATTGGAATGAGCTTTAGATAAGCTTTGGTCTTCTTAACTTTTTAGCTCATTCTCCCAGCTCTTTATATAAGCTTGCTTGCTCTTAACTTGACTCGTGCCTTAAACTTTATTTTTTGTTAAGAAACTTTTAGGATACATTATACTAAACTTCTATTCCCTAAGCAAAAAAAAAAAAAAGTAAACAAAAAAAGTAAAAATAAGTAAAAATATTACGCAACTGGGAAATACCTCAAGTTGATTTTTAAAAATATTCATATATAAATAGAAATGAATGAAAGCAAAAAGTGGGTTTCTTCAACTACTAAGTTTACTCTGGAGTTATCTACTCTGGTTGAACTGTTAACATATTCAAACTGCTTTAATGAATAATTGGGAATACTCTACTCGAGAAAGCCGCAATGAATGATACCCTAAAATATATGTCGTTTCAAGTTGTTTATGAAACGTATTTTTGTCACTTTAATAATTGATGGGATAGAGAAATTCTATGTAAAGGAGTATGAAAAATATATATAAAACAAAATTTAGACAATTTGAATAAGCATATTATCATCTGTTATATTTAGTGATCTAATATTGCATTTATAAATTACTTTCATATCGATGCTATAGAATTTGAGCTTACCTTATGAATGCCCTGACTGATTCATTTCAATTCTACTCATGAATCTAAATATACTCCAAAATGTCAACCACACTCTCTAAACACTTTTACCTACATCAGAATCAAGTCAATATGCCCTGCATTTACATTCGCCACATTTGCAGGGTATAAAAATGAATGCAAACTAAAATATTTCAGCTCCGGCTCAGGCAAAGCAAATTTAAATATTATTTTTTGCCAAAAATTCCATTTGCAATCAATTACCCATCGAGTCAATAATCAATTTGTAGCCGAATTCTTAAGTTTAGCTTCAATACAACAGCCACCACGCCCATATTTGCTGCATCAAGCTCTTAACTTAATCAAAAATGGAAAAGCTATCCATTTGTGACCTTTTAATTTTTAACAACTTTCGTAAAGCAGCTTTTCAATAAAAGTTAAGAGCTGCAAAGGTAAAATATTTCAACTTTTTCGACCTGAAAATTTCTGGAATAATCCATAACTAACTAGAAATCAATTTAATACAGCGTGTGGCATGGCTGAAGCAACTCGAGCTTGGCTGCGCCCACAGCCACAGTGAAACACCCTGTGTGTGGCAGCATGTTAAACCCAAAGCCGCAGCACAATTTGCCGTGCAACCAAAGCCCTGCAATTATGCACTCTAATGAAGTTAACCGCGAAGCCAGCCACAAAATCGACTCGAGACAAGAGCCCGAGTCAAAGGTCAGCGCAGCATGAGGGTGGTTAGGTAAAGGGCAGAACAGAGAGAGGGGTAGAGGCAGACAGAGGAAGATAGCAAGGAGAAGACGTGGAAAAGCTATTAGACCGCCACGCCCTCACACAAAGACTTCAGCTTGAGCTGATGCGAAATATTCCCTCAACATATATGCAAGATGCTCACGATTTGGCCACAGCCTTGGGGCGCCCAAATGTAATTAGCCAGCCTGAACTTCATTCAAGTGGTTAAAAATGCATTTTAGAAATTTGCTGAAGCGAATGCACAGCCACAGCTGCTAAAAGGCAAACTCAGCTAGCGCCTGAGGTACAGTAAAAAGTTGAGAAACGTGGAAAAAACCTAAGACCGGTGCTCAGTGTGGATAAGTAGGTATTTAGATAGATATGTATGTATATGTAGGTATGTATATATGCTGATTGAAATTCCATTTTTAATATACATACCTTAACTGACGGAGAACCTTCCAGGAAATACTCTGAGCATTATTTAAAGCTTAAAATTTGGGTAGAATAGGTATGCCACAAATTAAAATATTCTCGTCAGCATTCATTGTTAATTAGCTATTTAAATAGTATCACCAGTAATGATATTTATGTTACTATTACATTGAAAAGCCTTAACATATCCACTTTTCACTCAGTTAAGTTAACAGCCAGTGTAAGCAACAGAGTTCGCTTTTTTACTTCGTTAATGTTAAGCGTAACAATTGCAGTTCTTTCATTAAACACTCATTAATGCTTTACAGCATCCTCTCTTGTGCTGTTAGCTTAACAGTCATTATTTACTGCTCGCATCTGTTAAGATATTGGATATACAGCTCGCTGTTATTCATGCATTCAGCATTCTTTAGCTCTCAAGCTTCTCTTCTCAGCTGTTAGATTAACAGCGAAGCTGCAGTCGTGGAGTCTTTTAACAGTGGGCTGCTGCAGCTCTGTATACTTAGCTAATTAGCTTCTAACATAGCTACGCTCACTGTTAAGCTGTTCTTGATGCTGTTAATTTAACAGTGCCGCTCTGCAGCCTCGCTACCATATGTTAATATTTTAGCTATTAATATTTTATACTCTTTTGCTCGATGGCAACTCAGCTCTGTTAGGCCTGCTCTATGAGCTTTTGCTCTACTCTGCAATTCTGTTAGGCTGTAAATCTCTTTTATGACATTCTCGTAATACAACTCAGGCTACAGCTAGAGCATCTGCACTTCGTACAGCTCACAGCATTGCAGCTTTTCTCTATAAGAAATTCCATTTCTTCCTCTATTTGTTGTTTTTGTTTTGTTTTGTCTATAACCAGCAGAGATGCTGGACCGCAGCTACTTAGCTTAAGCTTAATGCTTTGACTAAATTGAAAATGACCATTTGACGTGGAAATGTTTGCAACCACTTACCAACCTACACACGCATAAACACACACACACATACACATAGCCACTCAAGCACCTAAGAGAATCGCATAGGGCAGTGCGAATCTGACAAAAAGTCATTGGAATCACAAATTCAATGCGCAAACAAGACAAGTTGTCCACTACTTGCCAACGTACACATGTCCAGGCCATGTCCGGCGCGCGTGCATGTGTGGGTGTGTGTGTCTGTGTGTGAATGTGTTAGTTACATGTCAGCAGGCGCATGCCAATACGAATACCAGCATACTAACACACACACAAGCGCACACGCACAGAGATGTACATACAGAGTCTGCTACACGCATCCATTTAGTGCCACTCACTGGCCTGGCCTGCTTGTTGATTTTAAAATATATTTACCCCACTCAGCGCAGGCATTCTGATGCCCTTACCACGAAGCTTATGGGCTAAGTGAGTCAATTTGTATGCAATAGGTACAGGGCCTTTGGCAAGGATCAAGGCAACGTTAGAACTAGATAGTTTTCTGAGAAAAAAGTTCAGTTAATGAGCTTGCTATGGAGTGTAGCTTTTTGTGGAGCTTTACAAGCTGTTTAAAAATGCATAATAGGACTAACATAATATACAAATATTTTATTTTCAAGATGTTTATATATTATGTTTAAACTAGTTTCTTAAAACAAGCACAAGGCAATATTAAAAGCTTTAGTAAACCTATATAAAATTAAAAAAATATTCCTCATATATAGCCCAATATTTTTTCATAATACTATGAATCCAGTTGCATTTCTGATTATCAATGGCGTGTAAAAAGTTAATCAACAAATAGTTGAAAGTTTTATGAATGCTAAAACTCTTTTTTAAATCCGCTTAATACTTCCGTAAGCTTTCATACTCAGGCTTAGCAGAGCATTTAGCTAACGCCTAGCCATTGGCATTTGAATTATTTCTCTTGTTATCCCTTTTTTATTCAACTAAATGCTTTCAAATTGAAAATTGCTTTCCTGCAACTTGACGAGGGTTTATACTAACACACAACAACAACTACAACCACTACAGCAACATGGCCAGCATTGGCTACAACAGCAACAAATTTCGCAGCTCGCCCGCTGCGCGCTTTGTTACAATTTTTCCATCTCCTTCATCTCTTCTCCTTTTTTTTTTTTTTTTTTTTTGTATTTAATAAAGATTTGTTGTAGCAAAGTTTTTTTGATATTTCGCTACAAAAATATAAGTAAGAACTTTGCAGTCGAGCAGCAACGACTGCATAATGCATGTTAGCTCTGTAGAAAGTAAAACTTTATTCGATTTGCCATGGCCTTAAAGGGGAGTACGCATATACACAATGCTGATTGCTCGAAATCTGGAATCCTAGCAAGCCAATATACTCCTCTGCTGGCATCCATGAGCGCGTATGAAAAATGTTGTTATTTCTGTTCCGCTGGCAGCACATAAATTTAAGTTAATTGCATTTGCATTTAGCATATTTATGGCCAATTCGTAGCGCCAAGTGGCATTCGGCTAACTGGCTAACAGAAATTTGCTCTGCGAATGATTTAAATTGCATCAGAAACTAATAAAATTCGACTAATGTTGAAAATCGACACGGAGCTTAGCACATAATATTTAATTTTAATGTGTATTATTTTAATTGTAATACAGTTTTACATAGATCAGAGCAGGAGATTGAGCTTTAAGTGTGTGTTGGCTTAATGTATCAATTCCTTTTACTATGGAATCAATTGGAAGCTCTAATGGCATAACAGTAACTGGTATGTTAAGTAGACTGTTGATCTATTCGATCTGGGGTTAAGCAAGACAATCTTGGCGGCTACAGAAAAAATTCAAAATGAACTGTTAAGCTAATTTTAATTACAGGGAACGATGATAGACTCTAAACTTAACATTAGCTGTTAGGCCTACAAATATTATTACATATAGCTTAACAGTAAAGAGAGTCAGGAGAGCGCAATTATTAACAGTTCTCATAAGAAAAATGTTGAATTGTGTGAACGAGTATTTCCATGGATAATAAAGTCCGAAACAAATGTTAAATTTCTAATAGCGAATTGATGTTATTTATGCCACCGTATATATTCGTACGCATTGATTTTGTAATTAACATAATATACGATAGTGAAAGGCAATTAGGCAAATTGAGCGAACAGGTATTATGTGTAATTTGGCTATGCGACACATGACTCAACACAGCAGCAGCAACAACAAGAAGGGCAAACATTAATAATAATGTAACATTAAACACAAAAAGCAATCGGTCTTTGGAGTGTCCTTCTTCATGGCCAAGTGATGCTGACAAGAACGCCCAGATGTTTGGCGCTCAACAACACTGATAAAGTGAGAGTCTATCTCTCTCTTTCTCTCTCTCTCTCTCTTCGTCTCTCTCGTTCTCTGTGTGCGCCCGCCTTGGCCACTCGTACATAATCACAATTACATTTGCAAACAAAGGCAACAACAACAGCCAGTGACAGCAGCTCAAATTGATTGCTCGAGATATTGACATTATGACCACAACCATATGACAAACAGCCAGGCAGGAGCGACAAGAACCCCAACAGATTTTGGCAAAAATTGTCCATATGCCACACACGTTTGCAAGTTGTGCTTTTCTTTTCTTCTATTTATACACATACAACAGAGCTGGCGCATTAACACTGCGCTACATGGCATACGGCTGGAATCGCATTGCAGCTTAAAGTAAGAGTCAAAGGAAAATTTACATTTGTTCGTCAAAATAATTTCAATGAATTTTTAATACAACAGCAGTCACATTAACACTGTGCTACATGGCATTTAATTGAATTCCATATTCAAGTTCAGCAACTTTAAATTGAAAGCAAATTAAGTTTAACTTTGTTCGCAATCAAGTTTATAAAACAATAAGCAGGCACATTAACACTGTGCTACACGGCATGCGGCTCAAATTGAATTTCATATTCAAATTCGGCGACTGAGAATTGATGAGAAAGAAATATTTTGAATTTAAATTACCTCAAGTAATTTAAATTCAAATATCAAACCAAAACCAATACATGAACACTGTGCTACATGAACTTATAATGTTTTCGAGGCAATTAGGGGGATCGAAGATCAGAGATATCAGAGGTATTTAAGTTGAGAAATTCATCGACTGTACTATTCGTATATATAAATATATTACATGTAGCTTCCCTAGCTACACTGTGCTACATGGCATGCAGCAAATAGTAATTTGAATATTTATATACTGAGCTCAAAATTAAACATTTTTATTCTATTATTATCTTTAAAAATATTTTTTTAAATATTGAAATAAAAACACTGTGCTACAAAAATCAACTACATTTTATATTATATTAAACATGTAGTACATTTATAAAAAAATTATTATTTTATAAAATATATACACATAAATATTTAAAATAAAATCAAATTAATTTTTTGTAGCACAATGTTTGTTTGACAGCAGCTTTGTGTCTTGGCACTTGAGCGACATTTTTTTGGCCACAGTCAGAGGCAGCATAAATCGCATGTAAAGAAATTATTGGATACACACACGCACGCACGCACATGTAGCAGAGACAATGTCACACACACACACAGACACACACAATGATATGTGGAAGCTCAACACATGTCTCGCAAGAAAAACAATTAAATAAGAAAACAATTTACATAAATTAGCCAAAGTGGCAAAATGGCTTCGGCCAAGTATCGTTTATGCAAACGCTTAAATAAATGTGCACACACACACGCACACACACACACGTGCGTATGTATGTATATGAGAGTGTCTATAGATAGCGACAGCTGACAGGCACATCTACATAAAATACACATTGAGCTGGGTTTTACTTATCGTCGTCGCTGCTGCTGCTGAAAAGTATGCTACACTTTACTACACTGGGAATTCGCAGCTACAGTTTGTCTTATCTATAAGTGGGTGGGTGGCTGTGTGTGTGTGCGTTTACTTTAGTATTTAAATAACGTTAATGTGCCATGTTGTTTAGTTTTCGATTTAAGCAAACGCCAAAGGGGAATCCATGGTATTTTATGGCTAAGCATGCGAGCAACACGCACAAACTTTTCTCTCTCTCTCGCTCGCTCTCTCGCTCGCTCTCTCGCTCGCTCTCTCTCTCTCTCTCTCTCTTTCTCTCTCTTCGTTTTTCATTTTGCCAATTGTTTAGCACGCCAATTTTATGGTATGTTCGTGTATGTGTGTGTACGTGTGTGTGTGTGTGTGTGTGTGAGGGTGTCTTTGAAGTTATCAGCGATTCAATTACGCATTGATTACCCGCATGGCATCAAATCCACAAACGAAGCCAATGCTGCGTATACGCAATCCCAAGCATGCGAAACGCAAAGCAAATTCAATTAGCGTCTTGCCTACAAAATGCGATTATTACACACATACTACATATACACATACATGCATACATACATGCATACGTACATGTCTATATCGTTCGGGTAGTGTGTGAAAAGTTTACGTGGATTGATGCGTTCAAGTGGGCTGCATAAGCTTACTTGTAGTTTATGGCAGCTGTGCGTGTGGATAGAGATTTAAAGCTTAAGGCATTTATTGCAACTATAAGAAATTGCAAATTGATTTCCAGTTTTGAATATTGACAATTATGTAGTTTGTATGGAAAATGAAGCCTTCAGTGATATCAAGTATTCTTGATTTATTATAGTACTTGAATTATTAATTTGAATTTTAAGAAGATTTATTAGCTCATATTTCTACTGTCAAGTCTGTTCTACTTGCTGTAGCTAGATTATTAATTATATATATATATATGCTAGATATATATAGCTTATACATTAACTATATACCCATCTATTTGCTTTACTAAAACTCATAGTTCTCTATTTAAGATCTTATAAAATCATGTCACATCGTGCAATATCGAATCCTTTTTGCACAGGCTGACTTGTATCATTATTCATTAAATTGTAAAAAAACTTATATTAACTTGATTCTAAATGATATCGTACTATATCTATAAAAATCCATATTAAGTCATGTTAAAACTCATGTTAAATTGTATCAAATTTTGTTTAAAAGTCGTTTTAAGTCGAGTCAAACTAAGATCAAACCAACCCAAGTCGTGCATGGTCACATTGAAGCTATATCATCTCGTGTTTAGTTGTGTTAAGTCATTTGAGCTCATGTCAAATCGTTCAAAACTCGAGTAAGATTGAGTCTGAGACATATTCTGTTTAAGCCTCGCCTTAAAAAGTTTAAAATTATGTCAAGTCGTGCTGAGTTGCATTTAAATTAAAATTAATTAAAATAAGTCGTGTCAAAGTCGTAATAAAAGAGTTCAAGCCATATCCGGACGACTTGAAAAGTCGTGTTAAGTTGCCTGAACTTCGTGTCTAATCCAAAAGTTGGGCTAGGTTGGGACTAAGTTGTATCAAGCCAAGCCAAGTCGTGTTTGAGCGTAGCAAAGCTATATCAGCTAGTGTCAAGTCGTGCCAAATCGTGCCTAGTCATGTCCTATCGAGTTAACTCATGTCTAGTCGTGCGCAGTCGCGTCCAGTTCGCCTTAAGTTGTCTAAAATTTCTCTCCAATCACATCAAAGTTAAAGTAAAACCTTCAAGCTGTTCCAGCTTCGTCCACTTCAAACTCAATGCCAAACACGTGCGCTCTCGTGTTACGCTCCCCAAGCACGCACACGCACACGCGCTCAGCTCTAACTGTGGGTCTAGTGGCTCACGAAACTAGAAGACTGCCTTCTTCAATTTAATAGCTGTCAGCGCCCAGTTGGATTAAGTTGCACCTGAAAGCGCCTCTCTAATTAAGCAGCTGGCTTTAAATATTTAATAAGCTGACCCGTTCCCAAAACAAACTCTCTCTCTCTCTCTCTCTCTCACTCACTCACTCTGTCTCTCTCTCTCTCTTTCGGTGTGTCTTTAAGGGCCACTTTAGGTGTTGGCATGCGGCAGAGCAATTACACTTCTCGTGCTGGCCACAAAATGAAGGTCACATGCGTCGCTCTAGCTGCAAATCCATTTAATACTATTTGCGCAAATATTCACGCCATTTGGGGAAATGCGAACTGAGCGCTGAGGGCACGACCAGGCACACACACACACACACACACGCATACAAAACACTTTGGCAGGCCCAATGATTTTCTTTTGCTTTTTTTTTTTATCCATCTCTCTACTCCACTTTTCCATTCTTATTTTTTGTCAAATTTCCGCACACGAACGCAAAATCAGCATAATTTTATTTATTTAAAGCAATATCGAGTCTTGAGCAAAGGGTCAGCATGCTGACGATGAGGCAAAAGGTTTTGACTACTCAATTACTTTAATTTGGTGGGGATTGAAGGCGACGACAACAGCAAGAACAGCAAGAAAAAAAAAGGATGCTATAAGAAAGCAGAGCAACAACAAAAAAAGGAGTGAAAAAAAAACGAGAGAAAATCAAAGAGGTCAAGCGCTCGAAGCAGTCAAGCGTGAAATTTATTTTGAGCAGGCACTCTATACATATATATATATAAACACATACATAGGTATATACCATATATACATATATGTATTGGCACTGTGGCGTGACTGTAACAAATATACACAATTTATTTACGAACGTATCCACTTACATATGCATATGGTAAAAGCCAGCAAGGCCTGGCCGGGCAGAGGCCTCCCCATTTTGGCAATGCGTACAAATTGCGGTTTATTGAAGCGTAAGGCGCAACAGCAACAGCAATTCACCTCTTGCCAGAAGAAGTAAATGCAAATTTACAGCTATTCTTGTACATATTAATGGCGCAAAGAAAAAAAAAGGCTAACAAATTTAATTTTTACAACACTTCAAAAAAATCTATGCAGCATTCATCATTTTAATCCTTTCTCTCTCTCTCTCTCTCTCTCTCTCTCTCTCTCTCTCTAGCCCGCTACTGGCGCTGCTTCAGATACCAAATTAAATCGTCTGCGCTTACGTCTTGGCAAATTTTCAACGGCCAAGAATAAGAGCGGCACAGCGTCTGCCGGAGCAGGAGCTGCGGGTGGCAGCACGGCATTGGGCCTGGTCGAGGGCAACTCGACGAATACGGTTAACACGGTGGAGGATACGGAGTTCAGTAGCTCGAATGTGGATAGCAAAAGTCGCGCCGGCATCGAGGTAAGTGTGCGTAAGCGTGTGTGTGTGTGTGTGTGTGTGTGTGTGTGTGTGTGTGTGTGTGTGTGTGTGTGTGTGTGTGTGTGTGTGCCCTGCCCACACAACAGGGGATTTGGATTTTCGAATTGGTTTTTGCTCTCCCGATTTTGTTATTTCTTTGGGTACGTAGAGCTGCGCTCAAAGCAAATTTCATAACGCCTGACATGTGCCCAACGATCTGAGTTTGCTTCCTGAGTGCCCAAAAAAAGGAGACACGTGAGAATTATTTAATGGGGTGTGCCTGACGGCTAGATGATATCTTATTGTTTTAGATATTCTAGATTTTATAAATATAAAATAGCTAAGTTTCAAATGTTTCGATCTTATTGTGGAAAAAAGAAAATATTTCTAATATTTTATACCTTTTAGAGAGTTTTTAAAATAAATTTCATGCCGCTAGCTTTTCTAGTCTTCGAGTTATTTAATTTTTAATGTTTCTACTTCACAAGTCTTGACATTTTTAGCACAGCTAAACAGATCTCTTAGCGAGTCTCATTGGGCATATATGTATACCCTAACTTCACCCTCACTCTCACACACTTCACACACAAACGCACACACAGCAACTAATCTACCCCATTTAATCACTCTACAAAAGGATATCAAATCCTTGTCCAGTCTTTCGTTGCGTGTCCTGTGCGCGTAATCCCTGTTAAATCCAAATAGAAACTTGCACATGTCGTTAGCTAAACATCAAGTTCGGCTGACATTTGATTTATGCACGCATAAATCGATTTACTTTTTATATAGAAGATGAGGATTACGTATACGAAACGTGTTCGAATGATAAAAAAAAAAAAAAAAAGGAATTTCAAAAGATGAACTCTTATAATTTTTTTGGAACCGTTCTCTTTTATATGCGGCTACAGCTGCATATGGACATCTATATAAATATTTATATGGAAAAGGTTTAAGCCCGCAAATTATACAAAATGTGAGCGATAAAATGCAGGCAAAGCTTCTTTTTTTTTTTTTTTTTTTTTTTTTTTTTTGACAAAACGAAAATTTGTATTTAGCAGGCATTTTATGTACTTCAATTTCAGCTAGCTTTTTTATGCCCAAGCACACACACACACACACATACACAGTCGCGCACACATTCAATAATAAGGCAACGAAAAACGAAACATAAAAAAATAAGCAAGCCTCGGACTTCGAGTCGAGTTCGAGTCGAAATAAATTGGTAGCGAGTGGCCAAAAGGTCGCTGAGTGCGTTTCATGCAGGTTAAGTAATAGCCAAGTCACACATACATAGGTAGAGTGAGAGAGAGGGGAGTGGGACAAAGTCTGTGACAAGGATACCAAATGGGTGTCGTTGCCATGCAAAACCATCTCAGCTCCGTTTCAGTTTCTGCTTCAGTTTCTGTTTCTGTTTCAGTTTCAGTCAAATGAAAACAAAGCGCAGCAACAGGGAACGTGAAAACGTGGGCACTCAATACGCTTGAAGTAATTGAAGAAAATATGTTGATAGCTTATGGCTAACAGCTTTCGTTTGACCATAATAACTAAGCGTATCAGCAGCATGGCTCGCATGGCTATTTGCCTTTGCCTGGACAGCAAATAGAGGACAGACACACACACACGCACACACACACGTTCACATGCACTCAGATTAAATATTTACTTGGGCCAGGTTTCTGTGTGTGTGTGTGCGCCAAATAAGTGGACAGCCAAATAAATAAACACAAACACAGGACACACTCACACACACACACTTACGACACTCAGTTACACACACACACACACACTCCACGCATAGCCGCAAGCAAATATATATACATTTATCATAGTAGTTTCGTTTATTATATGAGCCAAGAGGCAAAAACAAACAAAATAGCAGCAACAACAACAACAACAGCAAAATAGAAAAGAAGGATAGAAAAAAAAGAGCCAAAATCAGTGAGAAAAAAAAGCTAGCAAGAGAGTTTATTAGAGCAAACTGTGCTGCACCGAAGCTTTCCATATACTTCAAATCCCGCATCGGCAAATCGACAATGGCACAAAAGCAAATAGAGCTGAAATCCAAATGGGAATACAATTTAATTATGCATAAATCATAAAGTTGAGGAATTTCTTGGCAAACTGTTGCAATTGAAATGCAATTTGAATAACTTTCCAGTGCAAGTTCCAGAAAGAGATGACTAAGCGTTGCAATCGAGCAAAGTAAGAAAAACTTTTCAATTGACAGTAAATAAAAGTGAGACTTGACTTGAGAAGGTAAAAAGTAGAAAGTAGATGAAGTGCCAATTGAATTTGGAATTTAATTTGATTTAGTAATTCTATAGATGTCTAAAATTAATAAGAATAATTTAAAAGTTGCTCGAAACTATAAAATAATTAAATTTTTCCCAACTCTATTTCCGTTAGGATTTGTTTAAGTCTATAGCTATATGAGTCTATAGCAGAAGAGTTTTATGTTTTATTTTTAAATGCTTCTAAATCATATATATCCAAATCTTTACAGTTAAGAATTGTTAGTTTTTTTATTTTATGCATTTTTTTATTTAGTGTACTTTAGTACTATCTAGTTTATTTCCGAATCAAGTTCTCAAGTTCTTTTATATGAAAAGTTTTAAATATTCTTTTATAATCTCTACAATCTCCTAATACTCCTAGTGTTGTATACTTTTA